TAGTTTGCGTAGAAGGTAGGGCGTTTAATACGTTAAAACATACACATCATCGTCTCTATCATATGCCAATAATGAATGTGTGACGTTAAAAAAAAATAACCACATCTCCACTCAAAAGCATCCCAGCATAGCTGACCACGTAATAACACAGAACAGATATACTGTCATATGCGACCATTACGATTATGACGTTTTACAGGTCACCAGAGATCACTGCCAATAAAGTCGTTTTGTCTACATGATCGGAAGGTAGATCTAAAACAGGAGGAATGTATTCTGTCCATCTGCATCCCATATACTAAGGCGGTAAGTTAAAAATGTGTTCCGACAATTTTCAATTTTAGTCTTCCTTCTCAAACGCCGCCACAAATCCTGCTATGCGAAATGCGCATGCGTGGACTAGAATTAAGATTCTTCGGACAAGACAGTCTGAGCAAAGTTTGTCTAGTTTGAAGTGTAATTGAGATATCAATAGGTAAATAGAAGTTACTACTTTAATTGTGTCTACTTTATTTGTTTGGTACAAATACACTACGCATCAATTTGCTGCTCATCATCATTTGTTAATGTAGATCCATGGCTACACTCAGTAATGTTAAAAGTTTAATCTATTTGTATGGACCAATCAGATTATCAGGATTGTTATTGCGTAATATGGGCATATGTCATAAGTCATGCATCTTATATAATTACAAATTTTCAAGTAAAATCAAACCTTGGTCGTTTCACAACTCGTGACGAATCACCACTAGATTGTGGATGAAACAAATTTACGTGGAAAAGATGAGTCGGGAGAATATGTCTTTATATCAGACAAGTGTTTTAGTCGACATCTGAAACTACAAGAAATCTACGAATTAATGTTATTACCAATAATAATTCAAGAAATATTGTGTAAAACCACCAATATTATCTGATATTGGTTTACTTTCAATCTGCTTGCACGGACCAATCAGATTATCGAGGTTGTTATTACATGATGGAAATATAGGCAATTAATAAAATGCGTCATTACACTGAGCTGCAATAGTATATATGATAAATACAATTATTACACTGCTTTATTACACGGAACTGTCATGGTATTTGGGATAAATACAATTATCACACTGCTTTATTACACAGAACTGTCATGGTATATGGGATAAATACAATTATCACACTGCTTTATTACACTGAACTGTCATGATATATGGGATAAATACAATTATCACACTGCTTCATTACACTGAACTGCCATGATATATGGGATAAAGACAATTATTACACTGATTTATTACACTGACCTGCCATGATATATGGGATAAATACAATTATTACACTGCTTTATTACACTGAACTGCCATGGTAATGGGATAAATACAATTATTACACTGCTTTATTACACTAAGCTGCTATGATACATGGGATGAATACTATTATTACACTGCTTTATTACACTGAACTGCCATGATACATGGGATAAAGACAATTATTACACTGCTTTATTACACTAAACTGGCATGGTGTATATGATAATAACAGTTAATACTGCTTTATTGCACTGAATTGCCGTGGTATAGAGATAAGTAGCACATTTATTTTGAACATGATGTGGGACTTCCCCGTCTTTTGTTTGCACATAATTTGTCTTACCTATGTGTAGTAGTGGTTTTTCACGTATTGTTTTGTTACCAATAATTACCGATTGCTGAAATTCAAATTACACTGAAAATAGTTGGATATATTATTTTTTGCGTTTCACTTTGTCAAAAAATTTCCTACTCTTTTCAACATGAAATGCCTTACGACCAATTATAACAACTTGGAGAAAACTCTGTAATCGGTGTTCATGAACGGTGTTCTTATATGCAAATTAGCCAGGAAGAGTACAGTGTCTTGACTACGTTCACATTTTCTCATCATTTACATATATTGGATAATTATAATATCAAATTCGTGACATCAGCCTATTATATTTGTATAACTCGGGTAGTAATTTTCATTTGTTTCTTGCCAAGAGATTGGAACACTTGAAACTGACTACACTCGTTTATTTAATCTGATATTGGGTTACTCACGGAATTTCCTCTTTTTATCACCTTTTTATTAATGGATGATAATTTCAGTATTGTTTACTCAAGTGTTTGTTTAATTAAAAAAATAGTTTACTGATAAGTACCAAATGTTTTATTCAAAATAGGATGAATATTACCATGCATACCGTACAGATACTCCCCATCGTCGTGACGTCACTATTGACGTTGTCAGCGCGGGAATGAAAGTTACTTTTAAAGATGATACTATCTGTGATCTTAACATTATATTCGGTGGTGTCGGAAAAGATGTAGCTATGACAATCGGTGATAGACTTGCAAGGTTGTCGGGAAGGTAGGTCGATTTGTGTAGTGTTGGATTTAAGCAATACAAATCGTTGACAGCGGTATAAGTTTATATACAACACAGATGCAGATACCGATTGTCATTATGATTTTCGTGACATATATATTCAACATCCGTACGTTTTGTCAGGCAAAACATGTCCAAACACTAAACAGTAAAGGTTTAAGTTGTACTTATCTCTACGTATTTCATAATGTTGACATAAGGTAGTTGCAAAGATACACATGCGGTTGGACACTAACCTACTCACCGGGACGACCTAGAACGAGGTCGCACCAAGCAGTCTGGTCGATATGCGGATATAACTGTAATTGACCCACTGTGGACATAGTAAGTTGTAATGAACGTGTGCGTTAACGGAGAAATTCACAATTGAATGTTAAGTGATGCTTGGTAACATTTTCAACGAAAATAGCTAAGATCATTTTAGTGTATCCAAGCATGATAACAAAGGCAATAATGGTAACACAATTCTTGCGTAATACCGTACTTGTAGTGATTGAGGTTTAATGGGAAATAAATATATTTTATGTTCAAATAAAAATATGTTTACATTTCAGTGTATGGAATGAACATTTACTACAATGCATGTTGAATATCGTAGACGAACACGCAGATATGATAAAAACATTTGAAAAAGATTTCAAACAAGGAGTTATGAAAGGTTTTGTCTTCAAGTTCTTCCATGCCGTGTTTTTGGAACGATATGGAACTTTGAGCACGGGACAAATAGGACTGGGACCAAGTGTACCAGCGAGGGGAACTCAAAAATGGCAGGTGTGTTGAACCTATAATTAATGTCATTCTGTTTGTTACCCAGAACTGTAACGTCATTAATTCATTTAGTGAATAGTCATGTAATAATTCCAAAACTGCATGTTATTGTTAATCTGTATGCATATGCATTAGAAGAACAAACAAATACGAAACGTTGTTATTTTATTATAAACGGCCATATAATGCGTGTTCTAGAATATATAAACATATCCCCGGATATGACATCACAATGTAACAATAACATAGTCGATATGGTAACTATTGTGATATTGAGGACAAATACAATTTTGAAAATTTATTATGATTGGTTTCTGATGAGACAAGCTTTACTGAGATTCTACTTTGTTGCTTTTTTTCTCAGCGACATATTGACAAAAGCGTTGGACTTTCATGCCATCATACATCGTCAATTCAACAAACAACTGGGGAGGCGCTCTTTATTGATGATATCATACCACGTAAAGGTAAACTGCGTCGTTGATTCCCATAACTAAATTTGCTATATTATAGTGATCAATGTTTGCCAAAATCTGCAAATAACGTTATTTCGGCATATATATTGGTCAATTTGTTTAAAACAAATCCTAAAGTGTGTGCTTTAATATACGGCAACGTGTATGTGGTCAAACTGAACAATTTATACGATTTATACCGGTATGCAATCAACTACATTAACATAACGTACTGTGTTACAATGTATCATTTTCTTTTTTTAAGACGAACTCTTCGTGTCGCTAGTGACGAGTACACGAGCACACGCAAAAATAAAGTAAGGTTTCATACTTCTATAATATTCGTAATATCTATAAATTTCCATTTGATAATTGCATTAGTTTAAATTAGTTATTTTATTATTGTCAATTGCATTGAGACTATGTTTTAAATATAGATACATAGATTACAAAGAAGCCCTTGAACTCACTGGAGTAAAGTATTATATCGATGCTGATGACGTGCCTGCTAGGAATGCTATCGGCGCAAACAGTGCAGAAGAAGTGTTATTTGCTCGCGATAAGGTTCGTTAACATGCATATCATAAGTGCAAACATCTATGTTTTTTTTAACAAAGGATATTTATTATGCGACACATACTACAATGAAATACACATGATCATGTTGAATCAATTGAACTCAAGAGCAGACAATATAACAGTTTGTTTGTTTGTTTGTTTGTTCAATTGTTATATCACAATGTGTATTTAGGTGACTCATTGTGGACAGATAATTGGAGCCATCATTGCAGAAAGTAGGGAAATTGCAAGACATGCTGCTAAACGAGTTGTTGTGGGATATGAGGATCTCAAACCTATATTAACAATTGAGGTGAGAATGTGTTTTGTTTAACTGATCCGTAAGCAGATTCTGAAAGCTACTATTTTTAAGGGTGACGCCCATGTTCGTTGACACGTATATTACAATATATGATTCAAATTGGCGATCCCATTTCATCACATATATTATTTATTAGCATTATAAATGAAATTTCTCGAAATTATATTTATTTTGAAATAATTTTTGAATCGTTTTAAAATAATTTAACTGTCATTGACATAAATATAAAGCGATGTTTATTAAATTCAATACTATAGTAGAATTTGGAAAAAATACTTTGTCGCAGCATATGTTTATTTTGAGACACTTTGTATAAGCCAATGTCAATGTTGACTTGTATTATTTTAATTTTCCTAAATAGTAGATGTAAAGTACTAATTTACATAACCAATCGATTTATACCATTCATTACATATTGTATGGTCAATGGATAAAGTTCTATAAAACAAATATATGTACAGACTAAATTTAGTTGATTTCAACTCATTTTTTCACGTGTTCAATATAAGATATGATATCTTCAAATGTACACAATAACAAAAACTGTATATAGGAATAGGAAACTGGGTTTCACATTAATTATATAAAAGTGCTGTTTTTTGATATTGCGAAGGGAGTTTACTCTACTTTAACTGCAACGGTATAGAAGTATAGAAGTAAAGCAACTCAAGACTTAAGAAAAATAACTAATTATCAATTACTGGGACTAAGAATGAAGTTACAAGTAGCCTCAGAGCAGTTAGAACTACTCCACCTATGGAACTATTCGTTAGTCGTCTTCACCCAAGTACTACTAACGAAGATATGATGTATTTTATGCGATCCCTGGGGATTAATGACGTGAAAGTCACCATGATTAAAACAAAATTTGATAGGTACGCCTCGTGCAAGCTGACAATAGGTTCTGCCACTAGCAAAACTTTGTTAGAGGCAGATAACTGGCGCCTAATGGCATATTGATTCGAAAATATTATCCATTGAGAAATCAAAAATCAACATGAAGCTGAGAATAAATGGAGTTAAATCCTCAATTCAATCGGTAAAGGATAATTGTGAACGAAGTGATGTTTGTTTATTGCCGGAGCATTGGCTCACAAAATCAGAACTGTGTATGTTATCAAATGTTAGTAATGATTTTAATGCAGTGGGTGAAACCGCTATGAATGAAGAGTGTGGCATAAGGCTTGGTCGCCCTATGGTGGAGTTGCGATATTATGGCGAACAAATTTGGGCAATGTCAAAATTAAACGTTATAGTGATAGCAGACTTATTGGTCTGGAAATTTCAGATAGAAAATTAACAATTATCAACGTATATATGTTTTGTTTAATAATGTTTGGCGCTGAGTAGAAAAAAATGTACAACCTAATATAAAAACGATTGTGCACATACTATACAAAATGCCATCTGTTCAATATTCAACCCTTTAATATGAAGCGTGTGGACAACCAAACATAATAAATGTTTCATATTTGTATTTTACTCGATTTAATTATTGCTAATTAATTATTTTAGGATGCTATTGAAGCCGAATCTTACTTTGATATGTTAAAACTTGTTGACGGCGATGTCAGTAAAGGTTTTACATCATGTGATCACATCATTGAAGGTGAAGTGATGCTGGGCGGCCAGGAACATTATTACCTGGAAACACACATATCTCAAGTTATCCCGGATAATGGTGATCAGACAATGGTGGTGCTATCATCAACACAAAACCCATCTGGTGTACAAGTATGAATTTCTATGAAAATAAAACCATTCATAGAACTTAAGATTTTAATGTTGAAATCATTATAACACAAGTCTTGTTCTGCCACGATATTAAACATTATTTTCTATTCAAATATTATCTTTTTTATTATTAAAATTATTGTTTTCTTGGGTAATACAAATAACAATTAAAATGCATTTGGTGTATGTGGTATCGTCAGTAATAAATGCACTTTGTTGCAGAGTTCTGTTGCCGGCATTCTCGGTTTCCCCTGTAACAAAATAATAAGTAAATTGACGAGAATTGGCGGTGGATTTGGTGGGAAAGAAACAAGATCAGACATGTTTGCTTGTATATGTGCTGTTGCAGCTCACAGGTAATTTGTTGAACGTAATACAAAGTGAAATGGAAGACTGTACATACATAAGGATTAGGTTAATTATTGGCGATGTACTACGTAATAAGGTCAGCCTTTTACACTAATGTGAGAAACTGCTTTAAATGCGCATTGTAACAATTTAGTATGGTGAAATGTATGTATGGCCAGAGATTTAAAAGCTTGGTGAATGTAACACTGATATCAAGATAATGTATATACTCATATTGCGATGGACTGTACTTCAAGGTACTGGTCAAAAAATGCAGCCATATCAAAAGTTTTATTGTGATACTTTTGTTTTGTTGTACTAGAATCTAGGTTAAATGTGATTTAGTTTGTTCAGTGGTACTAGTATAA